ACTAAACTCTTAAGCAAATGGTGCTTTTTGAGGGACAAATAAAAATAAATCTATAGATTATTTAGATTTTCAAAATGTGTTTGAATAAGGCTCTTCACAATATTGCAACAGTATAGGTTCTGATGAGCAAAGTTTGACTGCCTTAACAATAACAAGTGGGATAAGATGACTGGAGCTTTCCTTTAGAGCAAACATTTACAGGGCTCAATTTTTTATTTTTAAAAATAATTGTAAAAATTATGTCATTTGTAAATTATTTACATATACATGTTACTATCAAATGTACTTTTCACCTGTGGAGGAACAACTGATGCTAACACGAAGTTAACAGCAATAGTAAGTGAAAATGGAAAACTGTTACATGGCAGTGTTTTTAAGGGGTCTCATCATAGCCCATGTCATTAATTTTAATATGGATTTTGATATTTAATATTCATTTTTATTGCCTACCCTGTAGTCAGAGCTGCTGTTTACAACTTTTTTTTTTTTGAGACGGAGTTTCGCTTTTGTTGGCTCAGGCTGGAGTGCCATGGCGCGATCTCAGCTTAGTGACACCTCTGCCTCCCAGGTTCAAGCAATTCTCCTGGTCCAGCTTGCTGAGTAGCTGGGATTACAGGCGCCTACCAGCATGCCCAGCTAATTTTTGTATTTTTAATAGAGACGGGGTTTCACCATGTTGGCCAGGCTGGTCTCGAACTCCTGACCTCAGGTGATCCACCCGCCTTGGCCTCCCAAATTGCTGGGATTACAGGTGTGAGCCACCACACCCGGCCTTACAACTCTTTTGACTGTTTGTAGCCTCATGATGGTCTGTAGACTTTCTATATCATATTCATTTCAGATGGGGTCTTAGAATCTGTATTTGCATTTTAGTGTTTTCAAACACCTATTATATGCCAGGTATTGTGCTAGATAGGCATTGAGGGATACATTGGAACAAAAATCAGATAGAGTCTCTGAACTTAATGGAGTTAATAGTCATCAGGAGAGACAGGCATTACTCAAAGAATCACATGTGGTTAAGTACTATGAAGGAAAGATACATGGTGCCATCAGAATGTATATTAGGGAGGTTTGTCTAATATAGGAGATACCTGAAGAAGTTATGATTGATCAGTGACTTGAAGGTAAAGAAGGAATTGTAAGAGTGTTTTAAGCGAGGAAACCTCATGCATACGAGACTATTGATGGGAAAGAAAATGGTGCGTAAAAGAACTGAAAAGAGGTGGCTGGGTGTGGTGGCTCATGCCTGTAATCCCAGCACTTTGGGAGCCTGAGGCGGGCGGATTACCTGAAATCAGGAGTTCGCGACAAGCCTGAGCAACATAGTGAAACCCCGTCTCTACTAAAATACAAAAAAATAGCCGGGCGTGGCGGCATGTGCCTGTAGCCGCAGCTTCTTGGGAGGCTGAAGCAGGAGAATCTGTTGAACCTGGGAGGCGGGGGTTGCAGTGAGCTGAGATTGTGCCACTGCACTCCAACCTGGGTGACAGAGGGAGACTCCATTTCCAAAAAAGAATGAAAGAAGGTGTGTGGCTGTAGAACAGAGAGGTAGAGGAGTGTGTATGAGATGAAGCTTAAGAGATAGATAGAAGGTACATTATACAGAATTCCTTAATAGGCCATAATATAATAGAATTCCTTAGGATAAGGGAAGCCATGAAGTGTTTTAAATGAGAGAGAGTCATAGTCTGAATAATTTCAGAAAGCACATTGGGTCTATAGTATGGATGGTGAATAGCTTGTGGGTGGGTGGGGCTGTGGTTGGAGAGTGAATGTGTGAAGACTGTTGGAAGCGTATTACAATAGTTTAGGTGAGGCATGACGGTAGCCTCCTTATTGTGGTTCCATCGCATGCTAAAAAGAGTATGCAGAGAAGAAGGACTATGACTAAGTAAGTTCAAGAAGTGTTGTGTTAGGCAACTCTATTGCAGAACTTCTCAGGGCTTTTAAAATGCCCATGTGCATGGTGAAACTCTGCGAGGGGATATGGGATGTTTTGTGGCATGTATGTCTTACCCCACACAGGGTGGGCTCTAGAAAGTGGTGTATAATACCTGTTCATGGAAGTTCACTGATAGGTGAAGATGCTTTCCGAGTGATAACATATGAGCTATTGCAAACATGGTTGGGGGCTTCCACATGCCATGTAGCAATAACTTGGGGATAACATGGTACTCGGAGATAGAAATGGAAAGCTTGTTTTCCTGGGGAAGTCTCCCCATTTGTCATCGGGACAGAAAATTCCCCTTGAAAGAGCCAGTCTTCCCCATTTGATGTTGCTCTTCCTTGGGGCCCTTTTCCAGGTCCTCTGTTTTCCTGAATCTATGTGCATGCTTGCACAGTGAGTGGGTGAGTTGGGAAATTCTCAGCTGGGAATGTCAGAGTACCCACTGATAATTACTCCGTAGAATCTGAAATCTGGGGACAATTGAGGGCCGTGGCGGTAACTCATGATAGCAGGCACTTTCCCTCTTTCTCTTCTGTCCTGAACCATGTTGGCCATTTGACTTATTGGCCATTCGGCTTATTGTCTCTTGATTGCAAGATGGCTCTCTTAGCTTTAGGCTTCACAAATATGTTTGAAGACAGGAATAGGAGGTTGGGTAGGTTTAGACTTAGCAGCTAAAGGCCCTTTTCTCAACTGGCTCTGTCCATTTGTTAATATATAAAGGAAAATTCCTGGTAGTTCCCTTTTTTCTCGTTGGTTGAAATAGAGTTTTATGGCTACCCTTAGCTGCAAGGGCAGCTGGGAAAGACTTGATTAACGTAGACGGATTATGATCTATTCTCTAGGGGTAGTGAGTAGCACAGTGTTTTTCTGTTGGCAAAATGTGGGGCTGGGATTGGAAGGCCCTTGGGTGTTTCTGCCTTGGATATCTTATTTAAGACTTCATTCAGCACGATGATGCCCCTGTCTGCCTGAGTCGCCTGAACAGATCAGCCCTCATGTCATTTTCTCATGGATTCATTCAGGGGCCAGCCTAAGTTCCCTGCCCTATTCCTCCTACATCCATCCAGTCTGTCTGTAGGCCCCATGGATTCTTCCTCACTGATGATTGATCTTTTCTGTTGCTGACTGTTTAGCCTGCTTCACTTCCCTCTCCTTTTTCTCTCTCGTTTCTTTTATCAGCACCTTCTCAGTGCTAATAACCCATTTTTTCCTCTAGTGTTTAACATTTTATTGTTAATACTAGATAATATTAGATTGTGAATTTTTCTTTTGGCATACAGGTTTATGATTTAACACGTGCTATTCATGTAACTACCATCATAATTATATATGTAACAATTCTATCATTAAAAAAAAAAAAACTCCCTTGTGTTATTTCTTTATAGTTAGCCCATCCCTCATTCATAACTCCTGGCTACCACTAATCTATTCACCATCCCTCTTTTTTGAGAATGTCATATAAATGGAATTATATAGTATACAACCTTTTGAAATTGGCTTATTTCACTCAGATAAGAGTGCCTTTGAGATCCATTCAAGGAGTGTGTATAAACAATTCACTCCTTTTTATTGCTGAGTAGTAGTCCATAGTGTGGACATACCACAGTTTTGTTTAACCATTTACTGTTGGAGGATATCTGGATTGTTTTCAGTTTTTGCCTATTATGGATTAAGCCGCTATAAACATTTGTGTATAGTTCTTTGTCCTCCATTTTTTTCATTATGGCAAAATACAATTAACATAAAATTTACCATCTTAACCATTTTAACGTATACAGTTCAGTAGCATTACTATACAACCATCACCATCATCCAGTTCCAGAACTCTTTTCATCTTGCAAACCTGAAACTGTACCCGTTAAACAATAACTTCTCATTGTCCTATCTCTAGTCCCTGGCTACCACCATTCTACTTTTTGTCTCTAGGGTTTTGCCTTCTTTAAATACCTTCTACAAGTAGAATCATACAGTATTTGTCTTTTTGTGACCAGCTTGTATAAAGCTTTTCTTTCTTTTTTTTTTTTTTAATGATCACAAGTCTTTATTTCTTTGAGATAAATGCCAAGAAGTGCATTTGCAGGATTCTATGTTAGTTACATCTTTAGTTTTTTAAAAAAAACCACAAACTTTTCCAAAGTGGAAAATTTTACACCATTTTACATTCTTACTAGCAATGTTATAAGTTCAGCCATCTGCAAAGTTTGAATTAAATTTCTGGAGAAATGACCCTATTGACTATTAGGTTAGGTGTTTACCCTTAGAGTAGTCTTCGTTGGTTGGTTGATTTGGAAAAGAATGGTTTACAGTAAGTACTACTCTTGTATTCATTCCTGTGGATTGGGGTAGATATAGAGGGAATATTGAACTCTCTTTCACAAAAGTGGGGCTGGGTAGGAAACCGTGTAGGTGTCCATTGCAGTAGTGGTTTTCAAACCTGTGTGCACACCAGAATCATCTGAGGAGCTCTTCATTATGTAGATTCATGGGTTTCATATAGACCTACTAAATTGGAATCTGGTTTTAACAAAGGTTCAAGAGAGTTTTAAGTAGTCATGCCCACATCTGTTGGGAATGTTACATTATAATATCTATGCACTTTTGAAAGTTTAAAGGTTTTAGAAGCATATGCTGTACTATATAAATGAAAAACTTCCTGTTCTCTTATCTTTTCCTCTTTTTCTTTGGCCTTATGTTTATATTTTTGTCTCTTCTCTGATACTTATTCTGTTTTTATTTTCTCTCCTCCATTTAGTTTTCACTGGTGTCTATTTTTTGCAAGTGTCTATGGATAAGTTACTGTTATCTCTGTTCTTAGTATGGAAATTGTATAAAGAGATTATAAAGAGAGTTTGATCTTAGGCATTCAGGGTTCCTCTTCTTTCTCATACCACATCTGAATCTCTCTCACTGATAATTCTTTCCTTTTAATAGCAAAAGTAGAAAACAAGTTCCTGGGTTTAATGGAGAAACCTTTATGTTTTATATTTAAAGGTTGACATTCTTAAGTAGGCTCACTCTTATGTTTTATTTCCTCCTTTTCTCACAGGGAAGAAGAAGAACGTCTGAGAAATAAAATTCGAGCTGATCATGAGAAGGCCTTGGAAGAAGCAAAAGAAAAATTAAGAAAGTCAAGAGAGGAAATTCGAGCAGAAATTCAGACAGAGAAAAATAAAGTAGTCCAAGAAATGAAGATAAAAGAGAACAAGCCACTGCCACCAGTCCCTATTCCCAACCTTGTAGGAATAAGTGGTGGAGACCCAGAAGATAATGACATAAGAGAGAAAAGGGAAAAAATTAAAGAGGTAATAAGCTGAGTTTTGTGATATGGAGTGTTTATGGATTTGTATTTGGATATAAACAAATGTATATAATCTATGGTATCCTGTTTTTGATCTTTTTGTTCTTGGGTCATAGCTGTAGTATAGTTTCCAGGTTGGTAATAAGGACTAGAACTCTTTCTTGTTTTGTTTTGTTTTGTTTTGTTTTTTTTTAAAATGTTGATTATAATGTAATTATTGGGCACTTAAAATATTTTTGATACGATGTTTAGATGGTTAGTGCCACTCATTCTTGTTCAGAGATCTTTTGAAATTCAGCATTTTATTAATAATATATCTGTATATAACTTACCATTGTCTAAACAGTTTCTTAAATGTTCAGTTACAAAGGGACTCTGCTAGATACTATGTAGACCCCCTCATAAATGTGCTTCTAAAGAGCTAGCATTGTATCTCCAGTTTTTTAAGGAACATGTCATGATACCCCTCAACTATACTGTAGATTAAAAACACATTCCTTCCAAAAAGTCTCTATGGATTGAAAAATGGGAAAGAATTGATTTCGAAATTCTTTAAATTTATTTAGCCTCAGAAGTCTTTCAATTTGTTATTCTGTAATTACTTAAAAGTAAAGAGGATACCAGATGGGAAACATCTAGCGAATATTTGAGTTAAACTTTGTTAATTAGAACTCCTAAAAATTCTGGTTGGAGTTTGTGATTATACTGCCTATGAAGAAAAATATTTTATCAGAGTGTAATTGTACCAACAATATTTGAGAAAGTTTAATTATTATAAAGTAAGATAAATTTAGTTAAAGTAATCAAATACCTATTTGGATATATTCTAGTAATGGATATGGAAGGTACAGCAGATGTTTAAAGCTTAGCCTTATGAATTATTATAAAACCTTGACCTTGATGGAGTAGAAATAGAGCTGTGCTCTGATTTTACCTCATGTCTAGAGTCTGTTTTATATGTAGACTACTTAAGGCACTTCCTTCAGACAGTGCTGGGAGAGACAGTGATAGATTTTTTTTTTCAGATGCCTGACTTGCTTTTTTTCAGATGTCATTACAATGTACTGAAATACTTTTTTCAAATACGTAGTAATTCAGGTGGATAACCATGTGTGTTCAGGGGACCCCCAGATGATCCTCAGGTTCAGTGATTCCCCAGAAGTACTCACAGAACTCAGCATATAGAAATATGTTTTAGTTTGCTGAACTTTTATCCTGTTATTTTACTGAAATAAATTATTTATTTATTCTTACAGCTTTTTTGTAGATTGCTTGTGATTTTTCTCATACATAGTCATGTCTTCTTTGAAGAGGTACTTTTCCTTTTTCCTTCTTGATTTTTATACCTTTTTTTTTTTTCTTGTCGTACTGCAGTGGCTAGGAGTTCTAATACATTGTTGAAAATAAGTGGTGAGAATGGACATACTAGGTTTATTCCCAACTTTAGGGGTTAAGCATCTAGTCTTTTGCCATTAACTATGTTGTGTCAACTGTAGGTTTTTAAAAGATGCTGTTTATTAGGTTGAGGATGTCTCCTTGTAGTTCTAGTTTACTGAGAGTTTTATCATGAATGAGTGTTGAATTTTGTTAGATGCATTGTCTTCATTTGTCTCTAGATGACTGTATGATTTTTTTTCCTTTATTCTGTTAACATGGTAAATTACATTGGTTTTTGGATGTTAAATTAGTCTTATATTCCTGGGTTAAACTCCACTTTGTTATGGTATAGTATCCTTCTTAGATGTCGCTAATTTTTGTTAGGGAATTTTGCATCTGTGTTCTTGAGATACATTGGTCTTGAGTTTTCTTGTAATATCTTTGCTGATTTTGGTGTCTGATTAATGCTGGCTGCATAAAGCAAGTTGGGAAATGTTTAATGAATAGTATGCTGTTAAATGAATAGATTTTTGGTACACCACAGTCTACTATTATATAATTCATCTGATATATAATTAAATACTCTGCTATTGTGTAGCTCAGAACTCCTTGGGTTGTAAAACACTCAGCTTAAACTAAGTAATACAAATAGTATTTATTGGTTTAATGGCTCTAAACAAGGGCTTCGAGTTTGGCTGAATCCAAGCCTGTAGATATTATTGTGAGTATTAAGCATCTGTCTCTCTTTCCTTTTGCTAGTTTCTCCATGTTGGCAGAGAGCCATTATCAGCTCTGGGGGTTTATGTATTACGCAGATCATGATATTGCAGAATAAAAAAGTCCCTCTATCTCCTGGTGTCTATAACAATGTGTAAAAAGAACTTGATTGTTCCTACTTGAATCACATGTATCCACTCACTTTGTCTAGGGCAGGGGTTGACGGCTACAACCTGTGGGCCAAATTCTGCTTGCTGTTTTAAAAATAAAATTTAGGCCGGGCGCGGTGGCTCACGCCTGTAATCCCAGCACTTTGGGAGGCCAAGGCGGGCAGGTCACGAGGTCAGGAGTTCGAGACCATTCTGGCTAACACGGTGAAACCCCGTCTCTACTAAAAATAACAAAAAAATTAGCTGGGCGTGGTGGCGGGTGCCTGTAGTCCCAGGAGGCTGAGGCAGGAGAATGGTGTGAACCTGGGAGGTGGAGCTTGCAGTGAGCTGAGCTTGCATCACTGCATTCCAGCCTGGGTGACAGAGCAAGACTGCATCTCAAACAAAACAAAAATAAATAAAAATAAATTTTAATTTGAATACAACCATGTCCATTTACTTACATATTATCTGGGACTGCTTTTGTGCTGTAACAGCAGAGTTAGTTTGTTCATCTCTGGTCTAAGGATAAGGGGTTTTCTAGCTAGACTGAGTTAATTGATGGTAGAAGCAGAGCCTCTTGATTGACAGCTCTGTCATATGTGAGGAAAGGGAGCTGTTCCCAAAAAGACTAACATTTCTCAAAAGGAAAGAATGCCAAACAGATATGTACCTCATGAAGAAAGAGGACTTGTCTATTATACCCATTTTTTCCTGTCATATAGATGATAGTAAACATAGTTATGTATGTTTTCATACTGATACAAATGTTAATTGAATAATATACTAACGTAGATCTAGAAGAATGGGCAAGGATGTAGTAATAGAACCCAAAATTACATGAAATAAAAAAACAGTTTGTGAAAAATTTAACTTGATGGATTATAATTTTTCTCTTTTCAGATGATGAAACATGCTTGGGATAACTATAGGACATATGGGTGGGGACATAATGAACTCAGACCTATTGCAAGGAAAGGACACTCCCCTAACATATTTGGTAAGTTTACTTTTTCTAATTACTATTTCCATTTTCTACTTCCATCTTTTAAAACAAGATGTAACTTTTCAAAGTACTTTCTAAAATCGGAGTATTTCTGTGGAACTATAATTTGAAGAAACATGTATGATTTTTGCAAGTGTCAGTCACGATTAAGTTCTGGTTGCTTTCGAGTACACATGTATGTGGTAGATTTTCCATTTACATATGGATGCTTTAGTCATTTATGTGAGTATTTAAAAGCTTTTTTTTGGCATTTTTTTCTTTAGTGTCAGGAAAGGTAGGCACCTACTTGTCATTTTTTTCTTCAACACAATACCTATTCTGATATTCATGTTACAGAGGAAGAGGGGAAGGATAGGAAATTCTTGTAGTTTTATGTACATTTTTTTAAAAAGTGACCTACCCAGGGTGATTGAGTTACTGAATTCAGTGGGTTCACAGTTCCTAAGGAAAAATTAACAATGTATTCTGTGAATGGAGGTTTGGGGAAGCGCTGTGTTCATCTTGAGTTTGTTCATCCTATTTTCCTTGAGCTCAGTTCACTTATAAAACTTCCCAGTTTAACTTACTCAACTGATTTAACAACTTTTACTAAACCCTGAGGTAAGTCTTGAGAATTGTTAAGCTACTCTTTGTAGTCTTCACTCCTTTCCCTCATTTTAAATGCTTCCTGATGTGACTTGATGATTGTCTTTTAAGTAGTGATAGATGAAGGCAAGAAAATTTTAATGGGCTAAAAAGACACAAACTAGTTATATGCAGTCTGATTCTCTTTATTACCTGTAGTAAACCATCACAGTAATTCAAATAACAGCAATTTTCTTTTTGACACTAGGGAAGGATTTTTCTAATGCTGTGACTTTTCTTTTTTTTTTTTTTTTTTTTTGAGACGGAGTCTCGCTCTGCCGCCCAGGCTGGAGTGCAGTGGCCGGATCTCAGCTCACTGCAAGCTCCGCCTCCCGGGTTCACGCCATTCTCCTGCCTCAGCCTCCCGAGTAGCTGGGACTACAGGCGCCCGCCACCTCGCCCGGCTAGTTTTTTGTATTTTTTAGTAGAGACGGGGTTTTACCGTGTCAGCCAGGATGGTCTCGATCTCCTGACCTCGTGATCCGCCCGTCTCGGCCTCCCAAAGTGACTTTTCTTATAATTTGTTCATTGTTGCTTGTTTTTGGTCAAAAAAGAAAATGTCTTAAAAAATAATTTCTGTTGGATTTGGAAGATGTTGTGGTAGAGGAGTAAAGGAAAAAAGTTTCTTCTAGGTAATCAGTGACTACCAGAGACTTCATAATATGATATATAATTTATCAGCCATCATGTAATGAAATAAAGTATATTTTCTTAGCAAAATTTTGGACTGGAAAGTTCTTACTGCTTTGTGGATGTCACAGTATGAGGCGTTAGTGCAATAAAGACATTAAATTTAATAGTCAGTTAAAATTAGAACCTCCCTTCGAGTAACTTTCTTTTATGTTAAACTCAATGGTAAATTGTGAGCCTTTTAAAAAGATTGAAATATAAAAATGTATTGAAAATAAAAATTGGATGTTAATTTTTTACTTTTTTCAAATGATATTTCTCAGGACATCTAATGTATTAATATTTATCAAATAGATACTGGTCCTCTCTGTTTACCAAATAAATACTGCTGCTTTAGTAAACTTTAAAGATAGAAGAAAATTAATTTGACACTTGGGAAACATCTATTGTGAGAAGAAAATTATAGTGAAATGGTAGAAAAAGAAAATCTGCAGAATTTTCAGTAGTCAAAATTAGGTGCTGCTTATTTTTTATTAAATTTTTGTGTGGTTACAGTTACTTTTCCGGCCAGATAAGCTACATAGGAATAGATCATTATTATGTTTTGTCTTGTGTTTGTAGCTATGCAGTTAGTTTGTTAAAGGATTATTTTTTATAGTTTAATACTTTGTTTCCTACTTACTCTGTTTCTGTTGTCCCTATCTCAAATTCTTACAAGTACAATTTGAGGTTTTTTTTTTTAAATATATTTTTTGATTTTTTCTTTTTTTAAAAAACAGTAAAAGTCTAAGAGAAGGGTGGTTAAGTAGTTCGCAGTGTCTCATTTGACATCCCAAATTTAGTACACCTTTACAGAATAGGAATATATAGGTGGATACGGAACCTTTGCTTGCAATATTCTAGATTTTAGGGAAAACATTAACTTAAAACACGCCCCTTTTTGTTACCCTCGATTGTTAAACAATTCTTTTATATGGTAACTGAGATAGGGGCTCCTCTGATTTCTGTCTAGTTAGTTCTTGGCATCAGAGTCCTCTTTACGTGCAGATAACAGAAAATCCATTGCAAAATGGCTTAAACTAAAAAGGAAACTTGCTGAATGAATTCCTGGTGTATATCTAATTCTATCTGAGCTTTTTTACTTTATCTTTTCTGTTTTCCTGTTTGTTGATATAATGAAGCTGGTTTCTTAGCAGGATGGCTGCAGCAGTTTGAAGCTTCATATCTTCATACTACCACATCTGTAGGAAAGAGAACACTGTAAAGAAGAGAGCACTTGGATGTTTTAGAAATATAATTGAAATACTCACTGTTTCTTATTGTTTCTGATTAGGTCTTGTGCCCACTGTTGAACCAAATGCTGTACTTAGGAGGATGGGACATGTTCTTTTTGTTTTGCTTAGTTAGGGCCTGGCTCTGGAGCCAGGAGAGGGGAGAGGGAGATGTTGCTGGATGTAAGCACTGATACTAAATTATTCTAACAGTGATTAATAGAATGGCTGGGTGCAGTGGCACGGAGTCCCAGCTCTACCGGAGGTTGAGATAGGAGGATCGCCTGGGGCCAGGAGACCAAGGCTACAGGGCACCATGATCATGATGCCTGTGAATGGCCACTGTGCCCTAACCTTGGCAACATAGCAAAACCCTTTCTCTTAAAAAAAAAAATGCAGAATGAATTCTATTTAGATGTTCTGGAAAACAGAAAGTCTTATTAAGGATAGGTCTTTTTGCATGAAGAAGAAATTATTTTAATTTGGAAAAAGAGTATTCTTTGATTTTGCAATGCTTTTTGAAGGGTACATTTTATTTTCCAGGTGTGTGTGTGTGTGTGTGTGTGTGTGTGTATGTGTGTGTATTTATATGTAAATAAGTTACTTTTGTTGTTTCTGACTTAAGGTGTTTTGATTTGTACATATTTTGTTGAAGATTGTTGCTTTTATATTAATAAGAGATATTGTTCTGTACTTAAATTATCTTTGTCTTGTTTTGGTATCAGAGTAATGCTGGACTCAGAAAATGATTTGGGAAGTGTCTTCTGCTTTTCAGTTTTCTGGATGAGATTGTTTAGCATTGGTTTTATTTTTTTCTTAAATGTTTGGTATATGTGGCTGAAGAAACCACTTGCATCTGGAACTTTTTTTTTTCTTGAAGGTTTTTAAACTACAAACTTAATGTCTCTAATAGTAAGGACCATTCAGTTTATCTGTTTCATTTTGGGTGTATTTTGGTAATTTGTCGTTTTTGAGTAATTAGTCTGGTTTTATCTAAGTTATTGATTTTTTATGCATAGAATTGTTTGGAGTATTGCCTTGTCATTTGAATGTCTGTGGCAGCTGTAGTAATAATAATCCCCTTTCATTTCTAATATTAGTGATTTATGTTTTGTCTCCTCTCTTGTCCTGCTAGAAGTTTATTAATTTTATCAATCTTTTCAAGGAAACAACTTTTGGGTTCATTGATCTTTGTAATATTTTGTTTGTGTTTTCATTTCTTTGATTTCTACTCTTTATTGTTTTCTTCTTTTGCGTGATTTGGGTTCATTTTGCTCTTGTTTTTCTAGTGTCGTGAAGTAGAAGCCTAGATTATTGACCAGAGATCCTCTTCTCTAATGTATTTATTACTGTAAACTTTCTAACTGCTGCTTTTGCTGCATTCTTGAGGTTTTGATATATTTTCATTTTCGTTCAATTCAGTGTTTTAAAATTTTCCTTGAGTAAGTTGAAGTATTTAGAGTTTTAAAAAATCCTTCTGTTACAGATTTCTCGTTTTAATTCTGTTAGGATCAGAGAATGTACTTCACATAAGTTTAATTCTTTTAAATTACTTTTGGTTTGCTTTCTGACAGAGGTTTGTCTTGGTGAATTTTTCATTTGTGCTTAGAAAGAATGGTATGTGTATATTCTGCTGTTCTTGTGTGGAACGGCCTGTTGATGTCAGTTAGATCCCATTGGTTAATGGGGTTGTTCAGGCTGTCTCTATCTTAGTTGGTTTTCTGCCTCGTTCTGTCGGTTACTGAGAGAGGGATGTTGAAGTCCTCAACTCTTATTTTGGACTTCTTTCAGTTCTGCCAACTTTTGCTTCATGTAATTTGAGGTACTCTTGTCAGGTGTTTGTCCATTAACGATAACGCATTCTTAGGAGCACCACTAAAGCCCTAGTATCAAAACTAGACAAAGATATTTATAAGAAAAGGAAACCGTAGAGCAGTATCCCTTATGAACATAGACGTAAGAATATTTAACTAAATTTTAGTAAATCTTATTGAGTAATAGAGTTGTCCTTTGGTGTCCATGGAGGATTGGTTTCAGGACCCCAGAGAATACCAAAATCCACAGATGCCCAAGTCCCTTGTATAAAATAGTATATAATATTTGCATTTAACCTAAGCATATTCTCTCATATATTTAAAATTATCTATAGATTACTTAGAATACCTAATACAATAGAAATAGTTGTTATACTGTGTCTTAAAATTTTTGGTTTTTAAAAATTGCTGTATTGTTTTTTAAAAAATTATTTTCCCCAAATATTTTCCATCTACTGTTGGTTGAAGCTGTGGATATGGAACTGGTGAATACTGAAGGCTGAGTGTATATTATGTTATGACTAAGTGGAGTTTATCATAGAGATACATGGTAGGTTTTACATTTGGAAATTAGTGTATTTTAAGATATCAGAATAATAAAAGAGAAAAATCATAGGATTATCCCAGGAGTCAGAGAAAAAGCATTTAATAACATTTAACAACCATCCATGATAAAAACTGTCAGCACACTAAATTAGAAAGGGAATTTCTTTAACTTGATAAAGAAAATTTCAAAACAACAACAATAAGCAAAAAATGCAAAATATACCCCACATACTTAATATTGAAAGACTATATGCTTTCCCCTAAGATTGCAAGCTAGGCAAAGGTGTCTACTCTCTCACTTTTATGTAACATTGTACATAGATCCTAGCCAGTGCACTAAGGCAGAAAAAAGAGAAAGAAAAAAAAAAGAATAAATATTGGAAATGAAGAAGTAAAACTATCTTTACATTTTTAGTCAACATAATTGCCCATAGAGAGAATCCTAGGGAATGTACCAAAAAAAAAAAGGTACTAGAATAAACAAATTTAGTAATGTTATAGGATACAAGTTTAATATGCAAAACCAATTATATGTATTGGTATACTTGCAACAAACAATTATAAATGCAGTTTAAAAAATAAAGTTATTTGCAGTAGTATCAAAAAATATGAACTGTATGTGTATAAATTTGACGAACTATGTACAGAATCTGTATACTGAAAACTTTATGTTGTTTTTGAGAGAAATTTAAAAGGACTTAATGGAGATAAATGCCATGTTCGTGAATTTGAATGCTCAATATTATTGGGATGTTAATTCTTTCTAAATTTATGTTTAAATTTAGAGCAGTCCAATCAAAATGACGCTAGACTTTTCTGTAGAAATTGGCAAGTTGATTCTAAAATCTGTGAAAATACAAAGCACTTGGAATAGTCAAGTAATTTTTTTTTAAAAAAACAAGGTTGAAGGATTTGCACTACCTGATTTTATAATTTACAGTAAAGCTACAATTGAGGACAGCTTGGTTTTAGCATAAGGATGGGCATAGAGATCTGTGGAAAAGAGTAGAAATAGAAGTGCACATACATGGTTAATTGATTTTCAACAAAGATGCTGAGGCAATTCAGTGATTAAAAGGATAGCCTTTCCAACACATGGTGCTGGGTCAACTGTATATTTGTATGGGGAAATAATGAACTTTGCCTCTTCTTTCAACATCGTGTACAAAAATGGATCACAAAGCTAAATATAAAAGCTAAAAGTAAAAAACTTTCAGTAGAAAACACTTGAGAACATCTTTGTGACTTTGAGGTTAGCAAGGATGCTTTTAGAATACAAAAAGCATCAAGTATAAAAGAAAAATGTGGGTAAATTTGACTTAATGAAAACTGAAGATTTCTGCTCCCCAAAGACATCAGGAAATTGGAAAGACAAACCACAGACTTGGAGAAGATATTTGAAATACATACATAAGGATGTATCCAGAATATATAAATACTTCCCCACCCAGTGAGGTATATAAATAGCCAATAAGCACGTCAATAAGCAGGGAAAGTAAAATTAACACCACAATGGAATATTTCTACACACCCATTAACATGTCTAAAATTTGAAGATCAACAATACCAAATATTGACAAGGATGCTAGAGCAACTGTAACTGTTATACATTGTATTGGGAGTGTAAAATGGTACACTGTGGAAAGCAGTTCATCAGTTTCTTATAAACTTAATGTATAGCCTAGCAATTCCACTCCTAAATATTTCCTTGGTGTTCACAAATGAGATCAGGTGTAGTTGTATGTTTCTTAGTAAATTCGATTTTTTTTTCATCGATATACAGAATTTACAAATTGAATTTTAAGATCTTTTTCCCTGTGTTGTATAAAAGTTTGTATAGAATAGGAGTTATCCTTAAAATTAAAGTAGTATTCTTTCTATGAAACTTCCAGAGTATGGTATTTTGATAGCGGGTAGCTCTTCAAAAACTTATCTGTTTTTCAGTCTGTTTGTTTAGATTTTCTGTTTCTTCTTTCATAAGTCAAAAATAGTATTTCCTGAGAAAGATCAAATTTATTGTGAATATATGAATAAAACGGGTCTTTTATAATTAAAAAAAATTTTCTCTGTGCTTGTCTGTTGCTGCATTTTTATTTATTACTTTGTGTTTCGTCTACCTTTTAAAAATGAGGTTAATGGTAGATTCGTTGTATGGTTCTTCATGGAACCATTTCTTGAATTTATTATTTCAATAATTTTCTTCATTTCTAATTCATCCATTTCTGCCTTTAGTTTTTCTCATTCTTGTGTTATTTTGCTCAAATTTGTTTTTTCTTTCTTAGAATATTAAATTCAGTTATTTTCATTTGTTCTTATTAACTAGTATAAATATTTTAAGTTTTTTTGTGAGAACTGCTTTAGTTGATTCCCATGCTCTCATACTAAATTTTTATGATGTTTTATATATTCTGCGATGCCATGTTTTGCTGCTTCTTTGACCCAAGAATAGTGTTAGGCTTTTTCATTTTTTCCTGTTCAAATCTTGACTTGTCCAGGTAAACAATCATGATAATAGCCAGTAATTTCAATTTTATACTTTTCTTCCTTGAGCCCTTTAGCACATGGCACCTTGTGGAACTAACCAAGACTGGTACAGAATAGGTGGGTCAGGCCTTTTTCCACTCCGGAATAGTCAATACCTTAGAGAAATATGTACTTAGAGAACTAAATAAATAACTAGATAACTGAAGGAGCAGAACTATCTACAAAAATTAAAATAAGGACACAAACAGTAGTCTCAAGGATTTAAAATAAATTTGGTAAATGTTTTGGATGAAATGCTAAAATTAAAAGAGATACATATTCAAGAAGTTATGCAAGAGATAGAGATATATGAGTGATTAAATGGCTTGATACCATTTTTATCGCAATAAAAAGCCGAAGAACGTAATAACACATAATTGACTTTCTAGATAATATCAACATGAAGGGAACTGAGCAGGGAGAAGACCAAGGAATTTATCACAGTGTGTTGGAGTACTTGTCTTGTTAGCTAAGAGAAGATAGATGTATTGATAAGTTGAAGAAATTATTAGGAACACATGAACAAGAAAATGGCACATAAATTAAGGACAACCATCATAAGAACAAATTTATGTAGCTTTAAATCATTGGAAGAAAACAATTTCTACACAGTAGAAGGAGGAATGGAAAAAGAAAGAAGAGAATAGTAAATGGAAAATGTGAACTAAGTAATGTTGAATGCTGGCTCTGAAAATGTCACCAGGAAAACCTGTTGATAAGACAAAGCTGTTAATTATTACTTTGGTAAGGAGATCACTACCTCACTGGAGTCGTAGCTTTTCAAAGTTTGGGGTATAAATCATCATTTGGTACTTTCTGTTGAAGAGTTGATGGGTCTTTCAGGAAGTTCTTGGAATGAACAATAAATTTTTTTTGGCAACTTTTAGCTTTCTGGGCAAGAGCTCCTGGAACAGTAAATTCACCTTGTTGAAGACAATGTAATAGTAAAGCCATGTTAACGCAGGCAGTAAGCTGTGTGGACCGTTTGAATTTTTATAGGACAGAAATAATAATTGCATTTATGGGATTGGGGAGAACCCATCTCCTCCTTGATATTTATTTTTTTGCTGTACTACTAGATTTTTTACTCTAGTAGGAGCAAAACAAACCTAGCTTTGCTACTATTTTATTTAGGATTTGTACAGTTACATTCATTAGTAAGATTGGCCTGTTTTCTTCCCTTATGTTTTCATTATCAGTTAGGCTGGTTTTGAATGAATTCTTCCCTCTCTTCCTCCCTTTCTCTCTTGCTTTCTTCCCCTTGGAACTTTTTTTTTTTTTTTTTTTTTAATGATAAGGATAATCTCTTTCTTAAAAGTGGATACATTGTATTATTTTGATTTTCTCTACTCATGTTGTTTGATGGTTTCCTTTTTTCAGTATGATCTACCTGCTTGTTGATTGTTAAGGATTGTTAAGTTTTTTTTTCCACTGTGGTTATCCAGCCCTGTTGTACATTTATTATTATTTTAAAATATATTTTTTGTTCGTCCTATGAATTTGGACCAGAGCAGAAGGACACGGTTGTCTTATTATTTAGCTTTGTCATCGTGAACTACTCTCCCCTTTTCTTGAATTAATCCTCTTTTTTTTTCCCCCCCTTTCTTGGTTAAGTATACAGATATCTCATATTCTGACCAGGCAGAAAATTAAGGAAAAGTATGCTTTTAGTTTTCTTTTATCTTCCTATTTTTACTAAAGTACTTTTTTTAGTAAAATATATTAAACTATGTATATTTTCTAATATACATATAATTTCTAATGTAAAAGTGAACAATATTGGGTATTCTAAATTTTTAGTCCTTGTACTCTTACTTTAGTTTACTTTTATGTATAAGAAATTAAAATACACTGAATGTGAAGGGAATCTTTTTTTTTCCCCCAAAGAGAACAGGAGCGTAAAGTGATCTTTTTAATGATAATTTTTTTCTCCCAAATATAGGAAGTTCACAAATGGGTGCTACCATAGTAGATGCTTTGGATACCCTTTATATCATGGGACTTCATGCCGAATTCCTAGATGGGCAAAGATGGATTGAAGACAACCTTGATTTCAGTGTGGTGAGTGTATGATTGATAACTGATCTCTCAGATTGACCATGAAAAGACAATATCTAACTGCTATTGTCTGAATATTTGTGCTTTCTTATTCATATGTTGAAACCTAATCGCTAATGTGATGGTACTAGAAGATGGGGACTTTGGGAGGTGATTAGGTCATGAGGGTTGAGCTCTCATGAATGGAAAAAAAATATATATAAGTTTAGTGATTAGCACAGCTCCGATGAGTTTTCATAGTTAGGCCTACACCCATTCTTCTGGCACTTTAGCATGGTTAAGTGGTACTGCTTAGGTTTGGCATAGTTGTTAATCACACGCCCAGCACAGTTGCATTCTAGTCGTGCGACTTGAGAAAGTTCCTTATCTTTCTAAACCTGTCATAAAATTACTATTCCATTATAGTATCGTGAGGATTATTTGAGATAATCTGGTACATATTAAGTGCTCAGTAAATGGTGGCAATTATTTTCATTATCACCAGTCTTCACCTAAAAGATGTGTGGACTGTTTTGTCATATTCACATCTTTTGTGATATTTGTGCTTGCTTTTCCTTTTGACTACTTCTTTATGTACTTCTCTCTGACAGACTCTTCATTATTTAAATTGTGATGTAAGTCCGTAATTATTTCTTCTCTGATGCCTTTCTTGGTGCTAACTAGACAAAAATGGTTTACTTTCCTTTATTTTACTGTGGCATTTGGACATATCTCAATGAGAACAAATTTTATTATCAGTTAAGTTTAGGTTTGATGGTGAGTGGCAGAAAACCTAATATAAAATAGCTTAAACAAGATAGATATTTATTTATTTTTTCATGTAAATCAAGTACAGAGATAAGCATTTCAGGGCTGGTTTGGGTGGCTCCTTGATCATTGAGAATCTAGGATCATTTGTCTTGTTGTTCTGTTGCCTTCAGTGTAGATCTTAGACCTCATGGTATAAAATGGTTCCTAAAGATCCAGGCATTTTATCCAGTAGACAGAAAGATATGTGACTGTTCTTTAAGAAGACTTCTCAGGAGGTAGTCTCCCCCGGTTTTGCTTGTAGAGTTTACTAATACGGCCTCAACTAACTCCAAAGGAAAGCTGAGAAATAGAGTCTTTTTTTTTTTCTTCTGTGTAACTATGTAGCCTTTATACAACAAATTGTGTTTTTTGTATCTTCTTTAAGAAAGCCGTACTCCTAGATCACGAATATATTTTCTTACATTTTATTCTGAAGGTTTTAAAGTTTTGCTTTTGTATTTGGTCTTTAATCCAAATGGAATTGATTTTTTTTTAAATGTGGGGTGAAATAGGCCACTATTAGTTGATCCTAGTACCATTTATTTCCCTGCTATTTGTATATGCCACATTAGTCATATATTAGTCATGTTATAGTTGATTCTTTAACTTTGGCTTTTTTATTTATCCCATATATCAATACTAAATTGTCTTAACTACAATTTTTTTTTTATAAGAAGCTTGATGTCTGTACCTGAATCTTGGTATCTGATTTTGTTCTCTGCAGAAATTATCTTAGTTCTCAGCTTTTTGTTCTTTCAAGTTCTGGAAAACTATGTGGAAATTTTGATGAGGATTGCATTTAACTTACAGATTAATTTGGGGAGAATTAGCATATGTGCAATACTCCCATTCATTGACAGGGCAGCTTTATTATGGCTAATAATTTCCTTGTGTATAATTGTTATCAGTCAGGGTTCAGTCAGGAACCAGAACTATACCATTTATTTTAACTAGAGTATTTAAGGTTTAGAATTGTTATCCAACTAATGGGGAACCAGAAAGGCAAAACGAGAGAGCATTGTGATATCACCAGAGGTGTTTAACTCTAGGAAACAGGAAACAGCTGCCACCTGTGGGGGCTATAAGAACAATGGGAAGAGGTTGGTTGGGATCATTAAAATGCAGTAGCTTGGGCTCTGTAGAACTAGTACCTGTGCTGCCCAGGTGTTACTGGTACCTTAGGAAGACTGTGTCAGAGCTGGGACTCAGAACTCTGAGGAGGAGACACCTAGCCAAGTGCTTGATATCTGTAAAGGAAACCATGAGGCTGATTTGGGGATTGTGTGTCTGTATGTGTGATAGGGTACTCTGGAACCAGTTGCCACTGCCAGGGTGAACCCTGGCTGGTGTGACACTATCAGAAACTAGAAGTAAATAGGAGGGAATAAGACTCTTCTTCCTCCAGTCTTGTATTGTCTTTTTAGAGCCTCCTATTGTTAGTGTCTAAAAGGGAGCCAGCTGCTAAATTAAATGCATTTGCGTAGTTCCAAATCCCATATATCAAAGTAGAGTATAGAAGAATGGATTTGAATCTGAGAGAAGTAGTTTAATCATCAGCACTGTCACTTTTTGTTCCTTTCTTTCAACCTTTTAATGTCATTATGTTTTAGCTGCTTATTTTGCATATAGTATGTATTTGGGTTTTGTTATTTTTATCCAATCTTAGAGTCTTTTTAACTATTAAGTTTGATATATTTACATTTATGATAACATATTTGGAGTTAGGTCTTTCGTCTTTGTTTTGCTACCTATGTTATGATTGTACTTTTCATTTGCTTTTAGTTTGTTTTCCTTATTTTGGATTAAATTACATCATCTCTCTTTTTCCCTCTACTAGTTTAACATTATACCTTCCATTTCTATTGACTTTGGAGATATCCTTGAAGTTTAAAAATATATATATATGTATATATACACACATATATGATATATATATTTATAAAATATATTAAAACTAAGTTTTATCTCTTTTTTGTGCTTGTGCTCTGGTGTTAAGAGCAAAACAATAAATAATATATATGTTCAAACTTCAAGGGTAACTCCAAAGTAGGCATGTGCACACACACACTCTCTTATCAAAGTATAGTATATATAAGTGTATATAAACTTTAAGGGTAACCCTAAGCAGGCAGATAAATATATATATATGTATTTGAAATTAATCAATTTCAGATCAGACATCGTAGCTCATGTCTGTAATCCCAGCACTTTGGGAGGCTGAGGCAGGAGGATTACTTGAGCCCATCCTGGGCAACATAGTGAGACCTAAACTCTACAGAAAATAAGTCCCAGCTACTTGGGAGGCTGAGGAGGGAGGATTGCTTGAGCCCAGGAGGTTGAGGCTACAGGGAGCCATGATCATGCTACTGTACTCTAGTCTGGGCAATAGAGTAAGATCCTCCTTCTGAAGCATATAAGGGTTTTTAGAATGTTTTAACTTAACTCATCCCCCTTTTGTTTTATGTGTCATTGTTGTCTAGTTGATCCCAAGTTGTATTTTAAACTTCCAAATTAAGTAATAGATAAATAAATGCACACATTTATCAAATGCAATAGGCACTGTTCTAGATTCTGTGGATATAGTAGTCAACAAAGCCGAGTTTTATCTCTTTTTTGTGTTTGTGTTCTAGTGTCGGGAGCAAAACAGTAAACAAGTTTTATACAGTACATCAGATGGTGATGATAAGTGCTGTGGAGAGTAATAAAGAAGAGTAGGTAGGATTGGTGTAAGTGGTGAGGTACTGCTATTAGTATTTTACATGGGGTGGTCATGGAAGAACTCTTTGTTACAGTGACACTTCTGAGAAGAGACCCAAGGGGAGACATGTGGATATACAGCTCTGTCTTAATAGATATTAAAAGTGAGAATAGAAGTACAGTTCCCTTGTCTTTCCTGCTTCTGTTATACTATTGCAAAGTGTGTTTTCAGTCTAATTTTAAAAAGGCAATCTGTTTTTTGCCTTGTTTTAATATTTTATTTTTCACTTTGTTGTTCCATAATTCTATTACCATACATCTATGTGTGGGTTATTCTTTAAAGGATTCATAATGTTTCATCAATCTGAAGACTTATGTTTTCATCAAGTTTAGTAGATTCTCAGTTATTACTTCTTTCAAAAATGTCTCTATCCATTTTTCCCTTCTGTCCCTCTAGAATTTCTCATACCTTTTGTTTCTGTAGTGAAGGAAGATCGTTTTACAAATGAAACTATTTTATTACCGTGTGATTATATAGTTAGATGATGATGTGTTAATTAGGGAAATGATGCAAGGCAATTGGTATTAATATTTTATATTAGATGGTCAGAAAAAATTTCTGATAAGGTGACATTTATTCAGAGACCTGTAGGAAGTGAGAGTGATTTATTCAGTTATGTGAAAGGAAAGCATCCAGATAAGAGGGTAACTAAAGACTGACATAGGAGTCTCAAGTTTAACAATTCTGGGTTCAACAAGTAGACCCATATAGTTAAATGAATCCAAGGGATATTAGTATGACAGATGTCAGAGGTTGTAGGGGATCTGAGCATATTGGATCTTATTGGTCATTTTACTCTAAATATAATGTGAAGGCATTGTAAGGGTTTGCACAGAGCAGTGACCTAAACTGATGTAAGATTTAAAAGGCTCATTTTAACTATAGTATGCTGAATAGAGGGTAGGGGAGGAGGGTAAGTATTAAAGCAAGGACTGGTTGGAATGTTATTGTTGCTATTCTGGTGAGGGATGGAGGCCCTTCCACCCTTTTTTCCTTCCTCATATTTAGTGAATGTCTACTGTGTGCCCTGTAGTATGTTAGATGTTGGGAATATATGAAGTAATATTAAGCAGTTTGCTTTCAGGGTGAGATGGAATGACGATCTTGTTATCAAAAAATTACATTATATTGTAAAAATTCTATACTGGAGAAATATGTTAGCAGATGATGTGCCTGCCTATGAATGTTGGAAAGACTTTAGAGTAATACAGTTTCCTTTTAATTTTGATTAAAATTAACTATGAATGTTTTTATGTTAGTTGTATATCTTCTGTAGATTCTTTGATCATGTTCTCTGCCACTTCTACTTTTCTTTCCATGTGTTAGAATATTTCTAGCAATATCTATATCAATATCTAAATAGAAACATAGAGACTATATTTAGTAAGGTTATTAATATTGTTATATTTGTGCTGTTTCCATCTGTTTGCCATTTAATTGTGTTCATGATTCTTTTTCTTATAGGTAATTTGCATTTTAGAAAAATTTCATGTCTGTCATCAATGTGTCAAAACTGTTGGTTTTATGCTTAAGTACCTGCTTTCTCAAGGAAATTTATATATTGTAACACTTCTACTTTTTAAATTTTTTTAACATTTATTTCTAAATAATTTAGATTTCATTTTGATATTTGTGAAATTAGTATTTATGTTAATTTCTTACCCAGGAGGCAATTTTCTCAACATTATTATTGAATAATCCCATCATTCTGCCATTTTTTTGGTGCCTCCTTTAAATTTATTATATATTCTAGGAAAAATACTTAAAATCCAGGAGGAGAGAGAGAAGTGAAAATTATACTGTAGTGATTAAAACATAAGAAAAAGGACCACCAGTAAAGAGTGCTATTCTAGAATCATGACCCAGAATTCTAGAAATGAAGGCTTTCATGAGAAAGGGCAATAGTTAACAGTATTAAATATCTTGATAATTTCACAGTACTGTGTAAGGTACGTAAAAAATGGCTTGTTGATTTTGGCAATTAGGGAGCTGTGGTGACAGTAGTAGAGAAGTTTCAGTAACATTAACAAATGAAAGGAGAGATTGCAGTTGCATGAGAAATGAAGATGCAGAAAGTAGAAAAATATTTTCCATAGGGTGTTTGTGAAAAACAAATGAAGTATTGATGTTTTGAAAACTATAAAGCATTACGTATTTGTGAATATTTTCAATATTTTTTCACAGAATTCAGAGGTGTCTGTGTTTGAAGTCAACATTCGATTTATTGGAGGCCTACTTGCAGCATATTACCTATCAGGAGAGGAGGTGAGCAAAATCAAGCAACACGTTGTTTGTTTTGGAGGGAAGGGTTGGAATTTAATAAAGTGAACAATTTCCCTAGAAGCGTATTATTTTTCTAAATTGGTAATATTGAACCAGTCTAGAACTGGATGCTTCAGGCAGAACTATTCCTTGGGAATAATAATTTTTCCATTTTGAGAATCTCAATAAAACTACAGATCCGAGCTTTATATACAACCGTGTCTCCTTTGCAAGAGTGATCCTTCTCCAGGATTTTGCCATTGCAATTAATTCCATGGTCCAAGTAAAGGGGGGAAATTAATAAGGACAAAATTAAATAATGAATCAGAAAGAATTAATATGGATCCTCCTAAGACAAAAAATTAATAATTAAAACTTACTGTTTGGAAATTGAATGCAGTTTTTGGCTGTAAATAATAACAACTCTGAATTCTCCTCTCTGGAAATCTTGGTACAGAACACATGGAGACACTTGAGACTTAAGGTGATGGAGAATTGGGTGTAGGAAATTCCCTTTTACTGTTCAAATAGGTTAAAGAATGACGTTGAAGAGAGGGAGAAAGAGAAACTAAAGGAAGAGGTTATAAGTAATTTCTTTGTTTTTTGAGAAGCTGTTTCACCCATATTTTAGAATTGGTGTTTTGATCTGAGCTGTTTGTAGATTTAAGAAAATTTATCTTTTGTTATATGTATTATAAAGATATGTATCTATGTTATCCATATTTTATTTAATTTTTTTTGTTATCGTTAAAGTAATCATTTAAAGGATTTTTCCCCCACTGTTATGGCTTCTAGATTTTGGTCCTTAGAAACCCTTTCCTATGTCTGTGTTATTACAAAACAAAAATTCCCATTTTCATCTGGATTTTTATGACTTTATATACTTTTATCTTTATATTTCATATATTGTTGTTCTTTTGTGTGTAAAGAGTGACCTATTTACTACTATTTTTTTAAGAAGAAATATGTTTAAAGATGCTGGTATTTAATATGTAATATTCGATTACGTTTATCTTAATGTGTAATTTTATTGTCAAATTATATTGTGTGATTTGTTTATACCTCTAACCTGTATTTCTATAGTCAGAACATTTAAATTCACATTTAATAAAATAGAAAAAAATTGGTTTATACTCTGGCCAAGAGGTTATCAAACTTTAGTATGTGTTAGAATCACATAGGGTGTTTTATAAAAATGAGGATTCCAAGACCTACCCGAAGGACTGATTCACTGGGTTTAGCGTGGAGAGCATTATCCTATGTTGTTTGTGCCAAATACTCCTTGTTAAAGGTGATTTTGGAAACATTGGTTCTATATTTTGAGAAACTCTAACCTGGCTTATAGGAATAAAATCATTGTGAATTAATTAATATTTTTAGTGAGGTTTATTGAGGTATTATTTATGTAGAGTAAAATTCAGCATATAGTTTTACGAGTTTTTACAGTGCATAGTCTTGTAATCACCAGCACGATCAAGATACAGAATGTTGGTATCCTAGAAAATTTCCATTTACCATTTTACAATTACCCTATCCTGTTGCCAGCCCCTGATAACTACTGATCTCTTTTCTGTCTCTACGGTTAAGAATGCTGGCTTCTTTTACTTAGCATAATGCATTTGAGATTTATCCATGTATTAGTAGTTTATTCCTTTTTACTGTATTACAGTACTCCATTATGCATTTTATATATTTATCGGCGGAATTATTTACAGTTTTGGAGATTATGAATAAACCTGCTGTAAGCATTTGCCTATAGATTTCTGTGGGAAAATAAATTTTTATTTATCTTGGATAAATACATAGGAATGGGATTTACTGAGTCGAAGGTTAAGTGTATATTTAACTTTGGAAGAAACTGTCAGATTCTTTTCCAAAAATTGCCTCTCATTGTTGCGAGTACTTTGTATTGTGAGTCTCTTTATTATTGTTAGCCATTCTAATAGATGCGTAGTAGTATCTCACTGTTGTTCTATTTTGCATTCCCTGATGACAAGTGATGTTGAGCATCTTTTCCTGTGTTTATTTGTCACGCATATTTTTTGAATTAGCTGTTCAAATCCTTTGCCTTTTTAAAAATTGTTGGTTTTTTTTGAATTAATAAATTGTGATAGTTCTTTACATATTTTAGACATAGGTTTTTTATAATCTGTACATTTGCAATTATTTTCTCTATCTGTGGCTTGTCTTTTCAGTGATTTAACAGTGTCTTTTGAATAATGGATGTTGTTAATCTGAAAGTACAGTTTACTAATTTTGTCTTTTATGGTTCATGCATTTGGTATTTTAAGAAATGTTTGCCTAATCCAACATCACAAAGATTTTCTCTTAAGTTTTCTTCCAAAAGTATTATAGTTTTACTTTATTTGTATTTTTAAGTCTATAATTGATTTTGAGTTAAATTCTATATACACTATGAGGTGTAAGTTGAAGTCTATTTTTTTTCCGTATGGATGTTGAAAAGACTACTTTTTCATTAATTGACATAGTACCTTTGTTGAAAATCAGTTGATTATGTATGTGTGGGTCTACTCTAGACATTCTGTTTTGTTCTCTTGATTTATGTGTCTGTCTTTGGTACTACCACGTTGTGTTCATTATTAGGGCTTTATAGAAAGTCTTGAAATCAGGTTGTATGAGTCCTCCAACCTTATTCCTTTTCAAAATTGTTGTGGCTCTTTTAGCTACTTTTCCTTTTTGTGTACATTTTAGAATCAGCTTGTTGATTTCTATAAAATAATCTGGGATTTCAATTGAGATTATAAATTTTGAGTGATTTGACATCTTCACAGTATTGAGTGTTTCAATCCATGAATATGGTATATGTCTCCATCTATTTAATTATTTTTTTTCCATTGGTGTTTCTAGTTTTTAGCATACAGATCTTGCATGTATTTTGATAAATTTATACATATTTCATGATTTTGGTAGTTTTGTATTTTAAATTTTAGTTTCCCATTGTTCATTGTCAGTATGTATAAATACTTTTGATATTTTTAAAAAACTTTTAATAAAGACTTAAATTCTCAGCTGGCTCAGGACTTTTTGTTTCTTCTAGGTAACTTTGTGATACTTTCATTTAAAAACAAAGTGCTGAAAGGTACACAACATAAAATTTATCATTTTAACCATTTTAAATGTGCAGTTCAGTGGCATTAAAAATAACATTTGCATTGTTGTGCAATATGCAATTGATTTTTCTTTTTTTCTTTTCTTTCTTTTTTTTTTTTGAGACAGAGTTTTGCTCTTGTTGTCCAGGCTGGAGAGCAATGGCGTGGTCTTGCCTCACCGCAACCTCCGCCTGCCGGGTTCAAGTGATTCTCCTGCCTCAGCCTTCTACAATTGATTTTTATATTGACTTTTTATCCTCTGATTTTTCTATCCTCATTAATTAATTCTAGTAGCTTTAAAATATACTTTAATGAATTCTTTGGGATATACCTTGTAAACAATCATGTCATTAGTAAATAGAGATGAGTTTTATTTTTCTGTGTAGAGAATGGTTATTTATTTATTTTTGTTATTTTCCTGCCCCTTCTCCTGAGGCAGAGAATGGTTTTATTTGTGTGGTTCTTTTCTTTTTCTTGCCTTACTGCATTGCCTCTACTACAAAGTCGAATAGTAATGGGTGGAGTAGGCATCCTTGCCTGGTTCCTGATCCTAGGAATTGCAGTCATAGCTTTATTCTCTACCATGATCATGGCATATGGCTTCAAAAGTACTGTGATTCATAAATGTTTATTATTTCTCTTGGTCTGCTACTTTAACTGTCCAGAACCTTTTGTACCCTTAAGATTTTTGCCTGGTTTGTCCTTTCTGTGCCCTGGAGTGAAGATAGTTCCTGGAAAAACTAGTCCCAGAGGGAGAGCTTTTGCTCATGACTTGGGAAGGAGTGGGATTTATGACTTGGACCCCTAGTCTCTTTCAGTCCCCTCAGCTCTACTATATGTGTTTCACTCCTCTGCCTTGAGTCTGTAGTCTATTGCTTACCCCATCCTCTGTCTACCTCAGCCTTACATACAAACAGTAAGTCTGGGCTCTTTCTCTCAAACGTCACTCAGAGAGGTGCCTTTCCTTATAAAACCTTTGGGATTTAGGTTTCCCCGGGAAGGATGGAACATTCATTGTTGGGTCTCATCTTTTCCACTTGACCCAAAACTTCCTCCCCACAAAAATGTCTTTAAGAATCATCCTGAGTTGCTTCATCTGCTAACTGCCAATTCTCTAACACTGAAATGTGGCAGATAACCGGACATATTTGAAGGACATCTTTATGTAAGAGATACATGGGGTCAGGAGGTAGTCACCTTCATGCATTGCTCTGCCAAGAGAAATAAAACCGACTTCTTTTTCCAAAAGAAGGAGACAAAACAGGAGAGGGGGAAGGGAAGAAAAGGAGGGAGAAGGGAGAAGAAGGGAAAGGGGGAAGGAAAGAGGAAGGAAGAAAAGGAGGGTGAAGTGGGGAGGGAAGGGGGAAGGATCATACCTGTGTCTATAAAAAAAAATGCATAGTTTTAAAACTTGGAAAGGAAAAAACAAAACTCCAAACCCAAGTTGCTTCACTGGCCAATTCTACCAAATATTTAATATCAATTATATGTAAATTTCTCCAGAAAAAAAAGAAGAGCAAACAATTTTTCAGCTTATTCTGTGAGGCCAGCATTAATCCTATGTGACACACACACAGAGGTATTAAAATAGAACTATAGATCAGTATCTCATGTGAATATAGATGCAAAAAATTCTCAACAATATATCACAAAATCAAATCTAGCAATATATAAAAAGGATAATACAGCATGACCAAGTGGGGTTTCTTCCTAAGAATGCAAGTCTGGTTTGATGTTCAAAAATCAACCAATATAATTCACTATGTCAACAGACTAAAGAGAAACATCATATAATCTTATTACATACCACAAAAACATCTGACAACATGTAACATCTGTTCATGATAACAACT